TCAAAAAGGTAAGTAACGTAATTATAACCAAGAATTGATGATGATGAATAATAAAAATAAACTCAAGCTATAACAACTAATTGACTAGTATAAATTTACTAAACTATTATTGAAAAGAAAAATTAACCACAGCAATATATATCTTATTTTTCTAATTTAACATTTGTGTCTAAAAGCTAATGCAATATCCTTGTAAAACTATACAACTTCTAGATCCCACCCATAGATAGATTTTAATTGATATTAACTTAATCTACTTTTCTATATTTTAGGTCTAAGCAAGAAAAAAAATTACAATGATGATAAAACTATAGATAATATTAGCATGTGTGTGCTTTGAATATATAAATGCAAATTTATAAAAGTCATAAGAAAAGTTTTTTTTTTGGATGGTGAAATTTAGTTTTTTTTTTATGTTTTTTGGATGGTGAAATTTAGTTTAAAAGCTTGAAAAACACTGAGTTGTAATAGAGTTGGTTGTTATTTGCTTAGAGCAGAAAATTGGATTAGAGTTTTGGATCTAAAGAACGCCAAAACTTCATGAAATCAATGAGTTTTTCATATGAATTTTTTTGGATCTATATTCATGAATTGGAAGTAGTTGTGTTAGTTGATGGTTATAAGAGTTTTGTATGTGAAGTATCAACTTGAAATCATCATTAAAGTCAATTCAAAATTTTAGAAAACTTTTAAAGTGAGTCGCCCTTCTCGCATACTAAACTTTAGTTATAATTTATAGTTTATAGTTCAATCTAAATTGTTTTGAAAGAACTACATACCTTCATGGATCTACTTTCTTATTTAGATCGTTTCTTCTCCAATTCAAACTCGAATTAGTTGGCAAGTGAATTTCGTTTCTGGGCACTTAATTTTAAACGCAAAGTTAATCATACAAGTCAGATAACATTTATCTATCCTAGGATTCAACTTACGTGAACTTTTTTCTTCTCCTATGATATTTATAAAAAGAAACAACGGAAAATAGAATACGAGTGTTGAATATCAGCTTCTACGATCTTGTAAAATGTTGGTCTGACCTCTTCTTTATATTTAGAAGTAAAAGTCCTTGCCGGTGTGATTACATCCCAATAAACTTCCTTAGACACTAGTAGTAAGTTGTTTTCACTATTGACATTGTTTCGATTATTTTATTTTCAACAGTTTAGCCCATTATTGTTATTTCTCAGCTTTTGCATATTTTAGGAGTCCGAAACTCAAAGGGTAGAAAATATTAACAAAAATTCCAAAACGGTATATAAAATTTTATATAAACCTAAACGGTAAAATCGCTGCCGACGCAGCGATTTACTTCAACTGAAAAAGTAAAATCGCTGCTGAGGCAGCGATTTTGCCAAAAAAAATTTTTTTAATTAAAAAAATGAAATCGCTACTCAAGCAGCGATTTCAAAATTTTTCTTCTTACATTTGACATTATTTTTTAATTTTCTTTTTTTTTTTAAAAAATAAGGTATATCGCTGCTTTGACAGCGATTTATGAAGAAATTTTTTTTTTAAAAAAAATCGCTGCCAGTGCAGCGATTTATAAAAAATATATATATATATTTTCCAATATAAATTGCTGCCTTAGCAGCGATTTATAAAACAAAATTTTTTTTTAATATAAACAGCGATTTACAAAAGTAATTTTTTTTTTTGTAAATCGCTGCTAGAGAGCAGCGATTTATATTAATTTTTTTTTTTTTATAAATCGCTGCCTAGGCAGCGATTTATTTTAAATTTTTTTTTTTGTTATTAAATCGCTGAGCAATTTTTTAAATAAATTTTTTTTAAAAAAATGTTAACTTATGTATATAATTTATAAGAAAATATACATTATTTTTAAAAAATTAAAAATAAGTAAATATATTTTCTTTCTAAAAAAAGATATTATATTGAATTTAAATTTAAATAATATTTGAATTCAAATAATTAATTTTTTTAAATAAAAAATTAAATGAGAAAAATTATTTAATTTTTTTTTAAAACAAAATTATATACTTTTATATATATATATATATATACTTTTACATATATATATATATATATATATATATATATATATATATATATATATATATATATATATATATATATAAAGTGAAAAGGATCACGTGACAATAGTAAAATTTGTTTTTTTATCGTAAATAGTTGAAGAAGTTCACATGTAAATAGTACATGAGACTTTCAATTCTATAAATTGGAACTTATCCTTCATATTCATATTACTTTCAATCTTCCAATCTACCAACAATTTTAGGTAAAAACATTTGAATATTATGGGAGAGTCTAGCCAAAATTTCAGTCATTTGAATTGTTTCTCATCGAATTCAACTAATAGGTAAATAAAGTAATGTTTTCTTATTTCTTAAAAATTATTTTTCTTATATGTAATATATTTATATTATTATTTTTATAGGTATGATCAAATTCAAAATCCAGTGAGTTATTGTACACAAATTGTAAATAATAATGTTATGGGTGATGAACGAGTTGGTGAGTTGCACAATGATGAACCTTCCGAGCATGAATTAACAGACAGTGATGATATGTATGACGGCGATGATGATAATGTGGATAATGCACCTAATGCATCCGTTGAAGATCAAAGTATTAATTATCATTCTACAGCGATTCCATACTTAGATCACACTGACGAAAATGCAGAAGATTTTATGTACACGAGAGATGACGGTTCCATTCGAACGGCACTTTGGAATTCAAACAATCCTAAACATATCCAGTCAGGTTCGATTGTTGAAAACTAAATATTTTATAGTTGTTTATTTATTTATTTATTGCATGTTGATTAATTTAATTTGTATATGCAACTAGGTATGTTATTTATGAATAAGATGCAAATGAAATCTGCAGTAAGAGCATATAGTCTTGCTATTCAAAAAGAATTTCTTTGTGATCAATCCAAAAGTAAAAGTTGGAAAGTTATTTGCAAGCGTCATGAGTTAGGGTGTGATTGGATGATTCGGTTTAGAGAGATTTCAAGCGGTATGTGGAAGACAGGAAAAATGATTGAACCGCATACTTGTCTTACAGATAACTATAAGGAGGATCATTTCAATTTGAATGATAACATGATTGCCACTTCATTAATACCATATGTTATGCAAAATCCGGACATAAATATTAAGATGATCCATGAAATTATCAAAGGAAAACATCACTACACTCCTAGTTACAGAAAAGCTCAAAAAGGTCGAAGAAAAGCATTTCGAATGGTTTATGGTGATTTTGAAAGTTCATTTAAGGCATTACCTCGATACATGGCTGCACTACAATTATTCAATCCAGGCACTATTATTGAGTGGGAGCATCATTCTACAACAATGCAAGGTGAGAAAATTTTTAAATTTCTTTTTTGGGCTTTTAAACAGAGCATTGATGGTTTCAAAAGTTGTAGGCCGGTCATTTCTATCGACGGCACACATCTTTATGGTTTGTATGATATCAAATTGTTAATTGCGGTTGGAATTGATGCGAATGGAAATATTTTTCCACTTGCATATGCTTTAGTTGCACGTGAGAGTTTTGAGTCTTGGTCATGGTTTCTCAAGTTATTATGGACACATGTAGTTTGTGAACGACAAGGAATTGGTCTTATTTCTGACCGTCATCAAGGAATCTTGCAGTGCGTTCAATCTTATGATTGGTTGAGTCCACCCAACACATATCATAGATTTTGTGTTCGACACTTAAAAGCAAATTTTAATAAAAAATTTGTAAATAGTGAACTCGAAAATCTAATGTGGTTGGCTGCTACTGAGCATCAGGAGAAAAAGTTTATGCAACGGATGCAACAAATCAAAACATTGTCTCCTGCAGCATATGAATGGTTAAATGAATTTCCTTTGGAAAAATGGACGATGTATAAGGATGGTGGTCGTAGATGGGGTGCCATGACGACAAATGTGTCTGAGTCATATAATGGTTTATTGAAAAAAGCTCGGGGGCTTCCTGTGACTGCCATGGTTCGAATGACGTTCAAAGCTCTCGTTGATCGTTTTGTCGAAAGAAACAATCTTGCAATTGCATTACTTCAAAGTAATATGCCATGGCCTCTTGCGATAGATAAAAAATTTAATGATTATTATCAAAGAGCTCAAGGGCACACAGATATGATGACTTACAACACAGGTGATGGAGTTTTTGAAATTCTTACTTTTGCTCATGATGGTAAAGGTGGAAATGTCCACAAGGTACTGCAAAAGGTAAGAAATGTTCTTGTGGAAAATGGAGAAACTATCATATGCCTTGTTCGCATGCCATCAAATTTTGTGGACTTCACGGAATCGAGCCAAAATCTTATGTAAGTAAATTCTACAGTGCAAAATATTACAAACGAACATGCAGTGAGACATTTAATCCAGTGGGTGATGAAATGTATTGGCCACCAGCTCCTTTTAATTTAATTGCAAATACTGAATATTTGCGGACAAGTGGTACGCAAGGAAGAAGCCGACTTAAGAATGATATGGATATAGCTCCGGCTCGCATGACTAGAAAATGTAGTGTTTGTAAGGAGACAGGTCACACAAAGGCACGATGTCCTACTCGATTTTAAATATTTTGTATATGTTTTTAAGGTTAATGTGTTTTTATTATCTTGTTATTAATATTATGATATATCTTTTATATTTATTTGTTGACATGAATTTAATTTGTCTTGTGCATTTTAAATATTGTACGTAAAAAATAATGATTTTACCTAATATAAAAAGTATTGATTTGAACTAACATAAAAAGTATTGATTTGACTTATGATAAAAAAAAAAGTAAATCCTGCAAACTTGTTCAAACATACAAAAATGTTGACAAAAAGTATTGATTTGACATATGATATATCTTTTATATTTATTTGTTAACATGAATTTAATTTGTCTTGTGCATTTTAAATATTGTACGTATAATATCTTTACATTATTATTATATTACTGATTTGAACTCTATTAAAAAATAATGATTTGACCTAATATAAAAAGTATTGATTTGACATAACATAAAAAGTATTGATTTGACCTATTACAAAAAGAAAAGTAAATCCTGCAAACTTGTTCAAACATAATCTCATTACTTTGTTCAAACTTGCACGAAACAACAAAATTTACATATTTCAAAATTCGAATCTTCAGCCTTTTAGAATAAAGGTGCATAAAAAAAATTATTCTTCTGAATCCGAATCTTCTACACCTTCATTCTCATCTTCATTTTCATCTTCATTTTCAAAATCTTCCTCATTTTGATAGTGACTGCCTGTTCCACATCTAGTTGATTTGTGTAGCCTAGATGTTCTCCGAGGTGGATTTTGTCTATTAAGAACTAAATTTTGTGAAGCCCCAGCATTAAATCTTGAATCATCAAACGCAATTACCTATAATACAATATAACATAATATAATCAAATAAAGATGCAATAAAAATAAAAAAAATTATAAAAAGTTTAAAAAAATTGTATGAAAATAATTATACTTACATTCGAAAAATTCAATCTTCCACCAAATGGAGAATTATGTATCGGAAATTCACGCATACCATGTTGAAAACCATATTGAGAACCACTAAATTGTGCAAACCCAGATATTGGAACCTGCGGAGTTACAAAACCAACTGTTTGCTGACTAGAAAAATTCGAATTAGTGTTAGAGGGCCCTACAGAAAAATCAAATGTGGGATAATAAGGCTCGGGAGTCGCCACATTAGTGTTAGAGGGCCCTGCAGAAAAATCAGCTATTTCACTAGTGGTCCTTCTACCTCGACGAGCACCCTCTCTCGGTGTTGTTTGTCGTGATCGGCGAGATACTTGTACTGGTGGTGGTTCATCGTATTGAGTGGGAGGATTGTAATCATGATCAAAGCTCAATCGCGTTCCCTGAAAGGCTGCATTCATTGACTCCATTGAAATACGAGCGACTTCCGCTGCATATTGTCTCATTTCATTAGATTGATTTTCATCATTTTCAATCATCCGAGCTCGACGATACTGCATTTCATGACCCCTAGCCTATAATGAATAAACAAATATTAATAAAAAAAATTTATTAAAGATTGACATAATAATTTGAAATTTATGTAATATACATACTAATGCCTCATGTCTTCCTGCCATGTGTTGATACCCTTTTTGTACAACATGTTGTGGATTTCCAATGACCATGCGGGTATGCCTCATGTACCAACGGAAGTAATCTGTTTGATCACTTACAAATGGAGGTCGAAATATACGATTTTGACATTGTTCCCATAAATATTGTGTATAGTTAAATGCATCTATATCTTCTTGTTTTATTTTTGATCGTTTATCACGCTTAAAATGATATTCGGAAAATTGGGTACACGGTCCAGGAATATGTTGTAAATAACCGAACTGTCTCACAACACGATCAACCATGTGCCACTCACGATAAATTCCATAAATCAGTGGCACCTGTGCCATCCAGACACGTTGTCCTGACCGACACCACTCAGGCAATCCATTAATAACATCTTCCGAATAAGGCTGCCAAATAAACTATAAAAAAATAATTAAGTAAGACAATTATAAAAACAACATTGGCAGAAAAAAAATATATTCTTATTTAAAATAAAATAAAATATGAAAAGTATAAGATAGTAATAATATTAAAAACCTGTTCATCAGTTAGATTATCAAGTACATCCCTAATCACACCGATTACAGTTCGTGCCTCATTTTGATGATTTCTACGTCGCGTCCATTTACGTGCAAGCGCAGTTAAAGCCTCAAATTGATTGGTTCTTAGAGGCTTTGACAATGGTTGCAGGGGAATAATTCTTTCCCATGCCCAAATCTACAATAAATAAATTCACCATTACTTATAATGCACTTAAATTTAAAAGTGCATATTACTAGTATATAAAAAATATTTAATCAAAAAATATGTATACCTGCACTAAAGAGAGAAATCCACAAACTTCATTTGATTTTCTCATTGACGCACGGCATAAACAATTATACAAATATGATAATGCGGCCGATCCCCATGCTTGAGTTGACATTAAATCTAAATTTCTCATGTCAATCAAAATGTCCAAATTAATCTTATTATTAGATTTATCCGGAAATATTGATCCACCACATAACCATAATAAATATAATCTAAATCTTTGTTGAACTTCATGCTCAGTTAAGTTGAGTTATCGTTAATAACTTCCAAACCTTCGATATACTCAATCAATTTATATGTTGACAATGTACTAACACCAGAAAAACAACTAGTATCGGGTAACCATCCTGTTAATTGAAAAATCATTTCTTGTCTACCTATAATCCCTAAAGAATCAGCTCCATTTAAAATTATAGGACTACCATCTACTACCATTCCGAATAAAATTTCAATATCTTGTAAAGTTATGGTAGCCTCGCCAGTTCGCATGTGAAAAGTATGAGTTTTCGGACGCCACCTTTCAATTAAAGCAGAAATTAATCCGGAGTCATACGGCACACATCCAACATCAAGAATTCCTTTAAATCTACAATTTTCAAAATATTGAAGGATGCGAGAATGTAATGGATGATATTTTAAATGTTGCCAAAATTCAATATCACCACGACGCGTATATAAGCAACATCTCTCTTCTTTTATGCTACCATTCCAAATTCCTTCGGAACGATGATGAACTTGAATTTTTAATGCATCATGCTCTACTGGACCAGGATGTACGTATAAATTTGATGGATCCATATCTATACACAAAAAATAAAAATAAAAATTAACATTAATATAAGTATCAAACGATTGAATATATCAACAATATCATATAAAAGTATAAAATTAATTAAAATAAATTAAAAATAAAATAAATTTAAACTCACCTTATAAAGAAAATGCTTTTAAAAACTTTAGAAAATTTGAAGAATAACAAGAATTTTAAGATTGTGGAAGAATAGAGTAGATTGGATTGGAAGATTGAAAGATTGAACTACCAATTTATAGAATTCAAAGTATGAAAAATTGAAGTACCAATTTATAGAATTCAAAGTATGATGTACTATTTACATGTGAATATTTTTTTCAAAATTTATAATAAAAACAAAGGTTTACTATTGTCATGTGATCCACTTTAACTTGTGAAAATTTTCTTCAAATTATACAATAAAAACAAAAAATCTACTATTGTCATGTGATCCTTTTCACTTTATATATATATATATATATATATATATATATATATATATATATAAAAGTATATAATTTTGTTTTAAAAAAAAATTAAATAATTTTTCTCATTTAATTTTTTATTTAAAAAAATTAATTATTTGAATTCAAATATTATTTAAATTTAAATTCAATATAATATCTTTTTTTTAGAAAGAAAATATATTTACTTATTTTTAATTTTTTAAAAATAATGTATATTTTCTTATAAATTATATACATAAGTTAACATTTTTAAAATTTTTTTTTATTTAAAAAATTGCTCAGCGATTTAATAACAAAAATTTTTTTTTAATATAAATCGCTGCTAGAGCAGCGATTTACAAAAGATTTTTTTTAAAAAAAAATTTCTTCATAAATCGCTGCCAGAGCAGCGATATACCTTATTTTTTTAAAAAAAAAAGAAAATTAAAAAATAATGTCAAATCGCTGCCCTGGCAGCGATTTGTAAGAAGAAAATTTTTGAAATCGCTGCTTGAGCAGCGATTTCATTTTTTTATTAAAAAAATTTTTTTTTGGCAAAATCGCTACCTCAGCAGCGATTTTACTTTTTCAGTTGAAGTAAATCGCTGCGTCGGCAGCGATTTTACCGTTTAGGTTTATATAAAATTTTATATACCGTTTTGGAATTTTTGTTAATATTTTCTACCCTTTGAGTTTCGGACTCCATGTTTTAGTGTTCATTCTAAAAGCATGCTAGAATAAAAATTTCGTTAGGAACTAGAAGCGATTCCAAGCTAGCGTTTGGCCATAGATATTCAAATATTTTTGGCAAATATTATTTGGATGAAAATTTGGGTGAAATTTTACCATGTGTTTGGCCATAGAATTTGAGAAACATATTTCATTTTTTTAAGAAATATGATTTATACCCATAAGTTTTTAAAACTATCAAACTAACAATAAATTTGTATTACATAGCACAATAGAAATCTCACGCAACAAGATTTATGACTTCCGCAACAAATCAATAAGAATCATTACAGTAAATATTCATATAGTGAAAAGGTCTTGGTACAAATTATGATAATGAAAATACAACTAATATAAATTCGGGGGAAAAAAAGAGAAGAAAACAAAAGGAAATAAATATTGCAATCACTAAAGAACCTATATTTTCTCATCTGAAAGAGTTCAACCTATTCTTTAATATAATCTTCCCACATTTTATGAACAATCTCTTCTCGATGAGCTTGCATTTTCGAATCAGACGATCGAGAAGATGAAGCGATGTTGTTACCATGAGCCAGTAGTTCGTCACTTTCATCAACAACCATATCATCATTTTCATATTCATTGAATATTCCATCACTACTTTGGTGTTCACGTAAAAAATTATGCAATATAGCGCAAGCAATTACTATTTTCACTTGCATGTCACATTCATAGTTGTTCATGCCTTGTCTTAGTATTCTGAATCTAATTTTCCACGCACCAAAAGTTCTTTCAATTACATTGCACAGAGAAGCATGTCTATAGTTAAATAGCTCTTTTCCATTCTTAGGCTCTCTTTCACTTCCTTGGTAGTCTTGCAAATGATAGCGCATTCCAATGAATGAAGCTAAAAATCCTCTTGTGTTCCGTAGACCAACATCAACAACGTAATATTTATCTACCAAAATAAAATAAATGCAATTCATGTTTTATTTAGTAGCTAGTTCATTAAGACTAAATATAACAAAAGAATGTGTGAAGTGAAAAGAATGCATGTAGAAGGGAGCTAATTGAATTGGTTGGTGTCAATAAATATATAATTTTTGTAAAATAAAAAGTTAAGGGTAAAAATTGAATTTCTAAAACTTTCCAAATAATGAAATTTGGCCCAAATACTAGTTTTTTCTAGTATTTGGAAATTTGGAAAATTTGCCAAAAAAATTTGCCAAATAATAAAATAATGTATGGACAAACAAAATTTGCCAAGTTTTCCCCCAAGTTTTACTTGCAAAATTTATGGCCAAACAGGCCCCAAGTGTCTTGTGACGCCCTTATACTTCGAGCACAACTAGGGTCAAGGTTATATTTGATCTAATGGGAAAATTTCAAATCGTATGAGATTGCAGTTTGTGGATGACAAATCTGGTAAGTTGATCGAGTAATTTTAGAGATTGTATATGATAATCTACCTTTGTATTGCAATTATTGTAAGCACCAAGTTCATGATGAAAATAGTTGCCGTTTGATCTCAAAAAGAAATTAAACTAACAAACAAATTGATGATACCATTGAAGTTTCTTCAAAAGGTACTATTAATAGTGAAAAGTAACAAAGTGATACGAGAGAAATACTAAATGAAAAAAGAAAGGTTGCAGATGTCGATCAAAGTAAAACTACCTTTTTAGATCAATAATTGATTTCTATTAGCAAAATCGTGCACACTCAATGGATATTGTTATAAGTAATATCGGTGTTCAGATAACTAACGAAAGCAAAGGGGGGATGCCAAAAGTTGGGGTTGATGCTCCGCAAGTTGGTTCAAGCAAAAAAAAGAGGATTCATGACACAACCTAATGGATACATCTGATGCTGAAAATTTTGGGCAACATGTTTTGCAAGTTATAACCTAGAATGCAACTAACAATTGGACACTAGTTGCACACAAAAGTTCAACTACTAATCGGAGCCTTTCTCCGACTAGTTAAAACAATTCTTCATGTAGTGAAAAGGGGGTAACTAGAAATTTTCATGGCAGTGAGAAGAGGCAAGATATTAGTAATGCCTCAAGAGACCTATTAATTGTGTTCGAATAACTTTGATGTTTTATCGAAGACTACTGAAAAGCAAGTAAAGTTAACAGAGAATGACAACGATTTGATCCAAGAAAAACATGTCTTACCATCTACTTTGGATAGAAAATTAAGTTCAGAAACTTTCATATTTGTGTCTTAAATGTGTGATTGCAAAGAAGAATGAGTCTAGAGCTTTAGTGTCAAATACAATTAATTTGGACGAAGATTCTCTTATTGAAGATGAGGAAGACAATATGCTTGATTTGAGTGAGGATTCTCTTGATGAAGATGAGAAAGATATGGACATATGCTTTGATATATTGAGTGGCTAGGGAAGGAGATATATCACCTAGACAACAAAGAAGTGGAAGCAACAAAAGCAAAAAGAAGACATGACATGGAAGGCAATATAGTTGGGACGGTAAAATGAGTTTGTTCCAAGGCACCTACGTACTGATGCGACATGCAAAGCAAAACCATTTGACAATATCAATAGGTTCAACAAGATCCAATAAATCCATAAAAAAAGTATGAGTTATCAAGTGTTGTTGGATAGGTTTGAAGAAGAAGAAGACAAGAGAAAATACTTGAAGTTACTTTTGATGGGCAATCAATCTTTTTTAATTCATGCATTTGTTATAGAAAGTTTGAGGCTGATAACTCAACTTACTTCTTGATTGACATATTTTTACATTATTTAAATATTTTTCATTTGTAATATCATCATGGAGTGTAGTACAAACTCTCTGATGATCGGTAAATACTTAGTTTTCTTTGGCTTTTATTTTTTTCATACTTGTTATATATAAGATATTAGGTACTTCATTATAATTAGTAAGACAAGACCTAACCCCCTTGCTCGCACTTATCTCTATTGATATTTTTTTTAATGTTTAACTAGCGGTAAATTTGTAAAAAAAAAATGCAAAATCAATTTTGAATTCCTTTTTCTTGACAAAAAGAAAACAAACAAACTAGAAATTCTCAAAGTTTTCAAGTTCTAATTATATTCTCAATCTTTATCACAATTTCCGGTGTCGTTGCTAGCTAACTTAACTATTTTTATCTTATAAGATAGACAATTCATTGCAATCTTATTACTTGATTAATTCAGTTATCGTGTTCTTTAAGTCATGCATACCAATTCAATTATATATACTGTTTTAAGAAGGCGGAATGGTCTGCTGGACCCTTATACTTGTATCAGTTTGTATTGTGAACTCTTCTACTTAGCATTTTGTCAACTGAACCCTTAAACTCCACCAAAATGATATTTTTAAGCCCCTTCAACCATGTGTTCAACTCACTCTCTTTTTTTTAATTGACATGTCATATCCACGTAAGACATATTAATGACATCATAATTATTTCATAACTATTTTTAAAAATTATTAATCAAAATTATTTAATAAAAAATAAAGTAATAACATTTTAATTTATTATTGACATTTCTAATCCTCCCTATTTTCACTATTTCACCACCAAACGGAAGTCATTGCCGTAAAACCCATTAAAATTCAACAGTAAAACCCAATATAGCATCATATTTTCGGCATTGATAGCAATACAAACTGGTCGGAGAAGGTAGATGATCTCGTCGATGCCGGAGAATCGATGGAGCCATTGCATTGTCTCCATTTTGTAGGCATCGTTTCCATTTTTGCTGGCGAAATCAAAGTAACAACAATCTAAGTCACCTAACAACCAGAGCTGATCAAACTTCTCATAATCTAATGCCAACTACTATTTCACACCTCAAATTGCTTACAAATACGAAAATAATTTTGAACAAAAGAGGTCAAGTTACATATTAGAGATATTAACAACTATATTTATTCCACTAATTTTCTGATTTTTTTTCTTTGCTTATTATGTTCAATTTTTTTTGCTCAATTTCATTTTTTATTTAGGA